TAAATACGAGGGCCCTAAGCCACAAAACAGTGGAACAGACTCCCTCGGGATGTTGTGGACTCTCTTTCCTTGGAGGTTTGTGAGCAGAGGTAGGATGGCCATCTGTCATGGATGCTTTAGTTGAGATTCCTGCATTGTAGGGCATTGGATTACTTTGCCCTCAGGGTCCCTTCCAACTCTACAATTCTATGATTCTGTGAAATTAAGTGATAAAACATAATCCATGGAAATCAGCAGCTGAGTCAGAGAAAGGCGGTGTAAACAAATGAGGTGTGGAATTACCCGTACTACCTGCAAAAAAAAACAGTGGGCAGTTGTACCCTCAACCAGTGCTTTGCAGCAATCCTCACCACCCTAGTAGAAATATAAATGAAAGCAAAGCACCGCCATCTGCTGCAGCTGCCAGTAAACTTTCCTGGGGGTGGGAGACACCAGGGTGGCATGGGGGTCAAGAGAACTGGTCTCTTTAAACCTGTTTCTACATTTTCTTCCTTGGAGAAGCGCGTGATGGCTGGCAGGGAGGAGGAGTGAGGTGGGTGCAAGCCATTTCAGGTTTGACTCACCTCAAAGCAGAGCTGCACCAAACTAAAAGCAGGTTGATATGTTCAAGCAGGGACAGGCTGGAATTTTTGGTCCTCCTTCCCTTTCAGTTGGGACGTGGGTGGCACTGTGGGTTAAACCACAGAGCCTAGGACTTGCCGATTAGAAGGTTGGCAGTTCGAATCCCCGCGACGGGGTGAGCTCCCATTGCTTGGTCCCTGCTCCTGCCAACCTAGCAGTTCGAAAGCACGTCAAAGTGCAAGTAGATAAATAGGTACCGCTCTGGCGGGAAGGTAAACAGCGTTTCCGTGTGCCTCTCTGGTTCGCCAGAAGTGGCTTAGTCATGCTGGCCACATGACCCGGAAGCTGTACGCCGGCTGCCTTGGCCAACAAAGCGAGATGAGCGCCGCAACCCCAGAGTCGGCCACGACTGGACCTAATGGTCAGGGGTCCCTTTACCTTTACCTTTTTACCCTTTCAGTTACTCACCCCGTCCTGGCTGGGCTTCTTTGCTGTCCTCAGGACATTTTTCGTTCATCTCCAGCTTGAAAGTTGTCTCTCTTTTCCCTGCCTGGCCTTAGGCAAGTCCCTGTCCTCAAGCTTTGGAAACTGAGGATAAAAGAGGCTAGCCTTGAAAGTTTCCTGTGGATGCAGACTGCAGCACACTCTGCAACTTTAGAAGTGTTTTAGGAATGATGGCCAGAAACTGAAGTCCAATATAGTCTCAGGAACCACAGTGAACTTCTGCTATTGGGCAAATTGGAATGGAATTTTACTGCAGAGCTGAGTCTTGGAAATAAAAAATGAATTGTGTTTGAATGTGAGGTTCTTCTGCGCTTCGGCTCTTTGGTCCTAACTTTCATTTCTTTCCCCCAACAGGTGGCGCTGCAGAACAAGCAGGAAAACTGGAAGCCGGCGATGAAATCCTGGCCATCGGTGGGAAATCCTTACTTGGACTCATGCATTACGATGCTTGGAACATCATTAAATCTGTCCCAGAGGGACGTGTCCAGTTGCTTATCAGAAAGCATCAGCCTCCAGTATGATGGGCATTGAAACTTGTTAACCTAAACTTACCTTTGTGGCACACCCTTCCAGGTTGTGTGCGATGGAACCATTACAAACGCATTGCAAGTGCTGAGCCTTGTTGATTCAGTGGCGTTGTTCTGTGTCAGACTGCTAAAATCAGCCAAGGAACATCAAGATACGTGAGCCAGGAACGTATCCCAGCGAATGCACCAGTGTTTTATAAATGGCATCATTTCCTCCACACCACTAACCCCAGTATTATTACTATTGGCTGCATGGACTTCTGTTGATCTGAATCTCCTTCCTGTCTTCCTCAAGACCAGCTCCATCAGTCACCTGTTTGGAGTTGCACCGGAGCAAAGCTGTTGAAATCAGTCTTGGAATCTGTTTTCAACGCAAGCTCCGATCTGCCTGGGATTACATGAAGCGAAAAAGACTGCCACGGAGTACGTGCAGAGTGCAGCTGCCGCATTGCCTGGACAACCCCCAACCAAGCTCACACATCTGGGTGGACTATGGGTGGAAGTCAGGTTGCTTGACTGCGAAACAAACCTATCATTTTATCAATCAATTACTGCACTTTGGATTCACTACATAGATGGTGCAATAAACGGTACTTTGCATAGGTTGCATGGGAAAGCTTGGCAGAGTACAATTTGCAATATGATTTGTATCTGGTTTCTTCTTGCTACGGTTAAAGGATTCAAATGTCCCCTTTGGGTCCACCCAACTATTACTTGGAAAAATGGTTCTCAGTGCTCTAGGGAGACAGCCTGTGGCTCTCTGAGGAAATACCAGGATACGGTCTCAAGGCACATGAAGCTACTGTCATGCTGCAGCTAAGCAGGTCTGGGGACTGCTTGGGTGCATGACCACCTAGCAACAGCATCATCTTGGGTTCCATGTCTAAAGAAAGACATGGCATTCGTGTGTAAGGAAATAAGTGAAACACATAGTTTAGCTTCCAGATTCAGCTGCTGGCATTTGCCAGTTCCAAGGATTTTGGGTGCCACAGTCTCTGGACAACTGTGCCTGGGACCCTGGGGAGTTGCTGCCAGTCCGAGCAAGCAGTGCTGGGGCTATATGGACCAACAATCTGATTTTGGTATGAGGAAGTTCCATATGTTCATACGGGAGCCGCAAGCCATGAAGGCATTTCAAGCTTAAGTGACAATCTCTGCCTCACTTTCCTTGCTAAGCTGCTGGAGTTTCACTCAGTGCTCAACGAACAACACACAACACGACTTTTATAACTGGTAAACTATTTATTGGGAAAGCGTACAGTACTTTAGCAAGTTTGGGTAATGTTTTAAAAAAGTCAAGATGGTGAATTGTGTGTCTGTCCTGGGTATTTTTACACTTAGCAAGCTAGGGGGTGGTATTCAACTAAGTTTTCCTCAAGAGTAGGCCCGCTGAAATTACTGGGCTTAATTTAGCTATGTTTATGTTAGTGGGTGTACTCTGACTAAAACTTAGTCAAATAGCACCCTAACAGATGAAACCTGCCCTGTTTTTTTTACAACAGGGATTTTGTAGCTGTACCATGTTGTTTTGATTTCAGCTGACTTGTGGGTCAAGCGTTTGTCTATTATGTTTGAGACAATCTCCCTGTTCTTTTAAGTGGTGTTTCTTTGAGTGTTCCTCCTCAAAATGGCTTGAAGCAAGCATAGAATTTTTTTTAAAAAAGATGCATTTATAGAGTTTTCAAAAACAACAACATAAAGACAAACAATGAACAAAAGCAAAGAACAACTGGGTTAAAACCAGAACTGCAAGTGTGGTGTGGTTTTTTTTCCACCATAGAAGTGAGAATTCTTGGGGGGTGGTGGTTCTGAATACTTATATGAATGCATTCAGCTCTTAGGATTAAGCCACTATAACTCAATTCACACTGGAGAAAGCCACAGAAAGCAATATGTCTAGGGAGAAAATGTTCCAGACAATTGGTAGTTTTCTAGAACACACATTCAGAGTTTATGATCCTAGTTTTCAAACCTATTGGCCTCTAATTAGATAGCTAGAAAGTAGATGGTCTGGTTTTCGGAAGAATTGGAACTCCCGCCATGGTAAATTTCCTCCTTATCAAGGATGGGGAAACTCAGCCCTATATGTGGCCCTCAGAGCCTCTCTCTGTCTGGCCCTTGGGAATTTCCTCACGCCACAACTCATCCCCAGCTACACTCCCCTACTGGCCCTAACTGGAATGTTTTTGCCTGGCTGAAAAGAATTGCATTAACAAGTACTTTCTGGGGTGAAGTCACCTGAAGGATAGGCCCCCAGAGTTTGGATAATCGGAAGGAAACAAAAGATGAGAAAACATTTGCATTATGGGTGTAAATTCACCTGTAAATTCTGAGTGACCGTATTTTCTGCTACTTCCATTCTTAAGTGTTGGTTTTAAGTGGTTTTCTATACATCTATAAGCACAATTGCTGCATTTGTTGAAACAGATACTGGGAAGGCACTTAAATCTCGTTTCCCCAGTCGAGCAAGTGAGATCCACACGTGGAGGCAGACTTCTACATATATAGGAAATGTGGCTGTATCTGTCACTGCATCACAGTGCTCACCGGGGTTCATTGAACTGGATATGGGCACCCTATTCAGGTCCACCAGTTATTGGGGTTCCCCCTCCACCACCCATGAATTTTTATGACAGATGTATAGTTTGAAATTCCCTAAAAAACAAACACTCCTCAGAGCATCACCTGCACTGATGCTGAATATTTAATCCATAGTCAAAGCACATGTCATTCTGACAGATAATTTTGATCAAATATGGGAGATTGAGATAGTCTTTAATGTATGGGTAGGCAAACTAAGGCCTGGGGGCTGGATCCGGCCCAATCGCCTTCTAAACCCAGCTCGCGGGCAGTCCGAGAATCAGTGTGTTTTTACATGAATAGAATGTGTCATTTTATTTAAAATGCATCTCTGGGTTATTTGTGGGGCATAGGAATTTGTTCTTTTTCTTTTAATATTGTCTGGCCCCCCACAAGGTCTGAGGGACAGTGGACCGGCCCCCTGCTGAAAATGTTTGCTGACCCCTGCTTTAATGTATAGATAGCAGGTGCGGTTGAAAAAGGTGTCAACAGAATTTCCTTGAGAAATTAGTTTGGGGAAGCCTTTGCCCTGAAAGACGGCATATAAATAATACTGGAGATCAAATTTATTAAATAATGGTTTGCTCTTTAAATTGCTGTGTTAGCGTCAGGGATTGCCTTAAATTGCTGTGTCAATGTCAGGGGATATAGAGTCAAAATTCCAAAAGGAGACAATGCTTCATTCTTTCTTTTAAAAATACAAACATCTTCAGTATTTGTGATGGGAGAGAGAGAGTCTGTCTCAGGCCATTCCAGCCTTACTCTGTGTGGTTTTATTTTATGTATTTATCTGAATACATACGTTTGCCAGAATGGCATCAGGCAGGCGATGCATTCGAGTCTTGCATGTGTTCTCCGTTACAACTCTTGAGGCGGAAAATAGACTTTGAGTAGAGCTTAATTTCATTCCCCTTGAAGCAAAATGAAACCAAGCCAGCCTCAGGGAGAGCTCTGTGCAAGTTGTAAATCTTACACACTGCTTGGTGAACATTGTTAGCATCCCTATATATATAGAAAGCATACCAGGGATCTGGTCCCTTATTATGGTCTGGCGTACATATGTGATGACTAGCAAAGAGGCAGCAAGTTGCATTAGCAAGGATGTTGTAGAAATATTGCAGATCTTCTTATTGCCTCTCTTCAGTCTCCTATGCCCTTCTGTCATCTTCCTGTCACTCCCAGGCCCCATTGAGTAACCCCAATCTCTTGACACCACTTTCTGCTCCAATCAGGTGCCTGCCTTCAATTTCCTTGACAATGTCTGCATGTGAAGCAGAGGAGATGCCAAAGAGATGGAACCTGGGGGTTCTGGAGATACAGATTTTACACTATTGATATTTTCCAAACGGCTAAACCATTGCAATGGGCTTCTTCTCAGAATTGTCACTTTCCCCCACCTCAGCCCTTAAGGTTTATTCAAACACCTCCTCCATAATCGATATGCATTTAAATTAGGAAGGTGTTACATATGAGGTTTCACCAACAGGAATTTGATGTTCATCCAGAAATTGAGGCATAATATCTTGTAATTTTGGAAACATTTCTTTGGGAGTATGAGCGATTTCAAGAGCATTACTCAGAAAATAGTCAAACTGTTTACATACCATCTTGCATTTCCTGTCTGTTATATAAAAGCCTACACTAAACAAGAGGATTACGTAATAAAATGCTGACTGCGATTTAAAAGTTATGATTAATTAAATTTCTATGCTGATCCATTAACTTGTTCTAGATATAAATGACTTGTTACTGTTGAGCTTTTAACTCGATGTCATAATAATACTTTTTGATGGATCGTAAAAATCTCTGGATGTCCCTCCCCCCCCCCCAATTCAAGCAAGCTGAAATGAGTATTTCATTATTTCTCAGAAGCTGTGTGGAATACACATTCTTCATGTCATAAGAAACCTGCCTTCTGATGAACCAGTTTCGCAAGGAAAGAATTAATCAGATGCTACAAATCTTCATCTTTTACAAAGATAACAAAATTGATTTGTGCAGTACATGAAAATAAAGGTGAAAGATGTAAGAAACCAAAATCACAGGCCTGGTCACACAAAGCAACAAATGAGATAGCAAACCTGTTTCTGGATTCTACCGCTTTAGACTGCAGCTGGGAAGGTCGTATGACTGATCGCTCTTCCATACAAAAATATTCCCTGCAGATAGAAATGTAGATGTCAAGCAAGAAGTGTGCTAGCCTAGTCATCTCCCTGACACCTTATTTTTCTACTTACAGAGGCTTTTGAGGCATTTGGCAGTGTGATTCCCCACCCACCCATGATCTGAAATAGTCCCATCTAGACACAGGTTTATCTCCTCATCTGTTTTCTGGGGGGGAAAGAGACCACAATTTTTATCTACATTTGTGTGGGGTGTTTGTGTGTTTGTGTGTTTTTTAAGTGTAACACACGATTGTATGATATTGTATATTGGCACCATTATTTATATAAATATATCATTCATGTTGCGAACATTTTTAAAATGCCTTGTTGTAATAAGAGAAGTGCAATAATAGGAAATAGAGTACATTTTCCAAAACTTGCTTTGCCCCCTTTATGTAAATCGGCATCTCAGCAAATCCTTCTCTTCCCCCTCACCCCATTTTTTTAGTGGTTTTTTGAAAATAAACATGACGCTTACTATTTCTGTAGGTATTTGTTCTTTATATGTGTTGATGTAAAATGTGCTGTAAGTTTGTAATGTGTTGCTTGCATTATAGGCTGGAGAGATTGCGAGGTCACACCAAAGTACCTCACAATAGTCTGTGTGCCCAATCTTATTCTGATAAGTGGCAAGGAAATTTATGGTCTGAATTATCCTGCAGACATATGCTCATTCATGTATCATTTCTACCACTTATGGCAGAGGATATGCTCCTTTCGTGCTTTTACGTCAGCCATTCCCAGCCCTGTTCAGATATCTTCAGCTACAGGCCCCACCAACTCTAGTCAGCGTGGCCAATGGTCAGGAATGATGGGAGTTGTAGTCCAAAACATCAGGAGAGCCAGATTGAGAAATACTTCTTGGCATCGCCATATTTCCTTCACCAGCCAAGCCTGCAATCCAATTGTCTGAATTGCCTTTCGCACTAGGGACCAAACCATATGGCATCACCTGGCCTTGGCTGGTGTGGGGACTTCTGGTGTAGGGCAGTGCTGAGTTCCCCCCCAAATGAGTCCACCACCATTTGGTCAATTTTGCCCCTTTCCCTTCCCTTGCCGTCTTCCTCTGAAGCCAAACTATGCAGGTACCAAAAGAGAGAGGACAAGACAAGCAGAGACACCTTCTCCTTGCTTACTGTTTTCTCACTGAGGTTAGGTAAACAGACAATGACTACATTCATTCATCAAAATAAACCATGGTTTAGTGTGACGTGCCTGAACCGCTACAGGCCTTGGGCTCGCATACTCCCCAACTTAGCTCCCTACACAGCCAAGACACCGAGATGGGAAGCTTCCACTTGTGGTTAACCACAATTCAGTTTGTCTGAACTCCAGACTAACTATGGTTAGGTTCAACCCATGTTTCGTGGGAGGGGCCGTTATTGGTTTGTTTTTGTCTTATTTTGTATTCTCGTGTTGTGAAATAGAATGTTCACTCCCACGGCCATAAAGATGTTCCATGCAGTACCTGCATAAATTCCATTCATTTAGAAAGTGAGCACTGAAGGAGCAAAGGCTAGGTTCTCACTCTTAATGTCTTGCTGTTTTTCTTTCTGGTGGAGAATATGAAACACAGAATAATAATCCAGAATGATGAACATACTCAAACACATAGAATGAGAAAATCTAGACCATTTAACATCCATTCAACACCCACCTAACCCACACATAATAGGAAATAAGAAAGATATTGGAGTAGTTATTACAATATGATGTTCATGCATTACTCCATCTGAACAACCTATATTAACATATTTATTCCCAAGGATTCTGGTAACCACAAAGGACTTGGGATAATGTGGATCAATTGCATGCTCATAGCTTGGGCTCATTTCTACTCAAAGGGGGGTCTCTGTCTAAACCTACGAGCTTCAAAGATTTTGTACTATTTTTACAGGAAGAATGCAATCATCTGCAGATGGCTTAGAAGAGTACATCCAGCTGTGCAAATCTGGAGTGCAGATGTTGCTGTTTTTGGATTTGATACCGTTCAAAGGCATAGATATATTGGTGGAAGATGCTGCTCCTTATTGGAGTCTTAAATCCAGCTATGGGGGCAATTTTTGCTTCTATTCTTTCTGGTTGTGTGTATCTCTCTCATGCTCTGGACTGAGCTGAAACAAAATAGCCCGGTTGCTTAAGAAAAAGCCAAAATGACAGTCGCTATCTTTTTTCTTCTTCTTTTTCTACAAATCTGTGTTCAGGTTCAGTGTTGTTTCTGAGCCTATGAGAAAGACACAGGTTTCCATGTGTGTTTTCAAAAGTCACAATGTGATTCCCAGCCCACCACACCCTCTCATCTCTTCTTGGAATCAGCTGAAAAGTCATTTGTGGTTGTGTTAATTTCAGTTTCCTTTTCCATTTAAGGAAAGGAAGAAGAGGAAACTGTCAAGTTCTGTTCTTTTGACTCATTCTGTTCACGAGATGCCACATTCAGCTGCCTTTTACCCTGCCCCAGTCTAAAGGATGAATGGTAAAAGTATTCTTGGACTGTACCACTTCAGACCCGCAGTGGTACATGTTTGAAAGCCCCTCCCAAGGGAAAACCCATCTCTACACTAGAGTAGCCATATGTCCTACTTTAAAGAAGACACATCTTTACTTGATGCACTGTCAGAGCGCAGTCCTCTATTTGAAAGTGTTCTCCATTTGGACTTCTGTCCTGTCCAAGTCTGATACACACACACACACACACACACACACACACACACACAGTGGTACCTCGGAATGCAAACGGGATCCGTTCCGGAGCCCCGTTCGCATCCTGAATAGAACGTAAGATGCGACGGCGCGTCTGCGCATGCATGGGTCGCGTTTTGCCACTTCTGCACATGCGCTTGACGTCATTTTGAGCGTCTACGCATGCACGAGCGGTGAAAGCCGGAAGTAACATGCTCTGTTACTTCTGATTTGCCGCGGAGCGCAACCCGAAAGCACTCAACCTGAAGCACATTCAACCTGAGGTATGACTGTGTGTGTGTGTGTGTGTGTGTGTGTGTGTATCTCACAATATAGGGAGAATTGCATGTCAACTTGGATAGGAAACTGGGCAAGCACACAGGATACCTGGTGCCAGCGACTGGACTGAACAGGAGGAATGGGAAACGAGCCCTCGCTCTGATCGGCTAATCTCAGAAGAGGAGGAGTGGGAAGTTTCTCCCTCCCTGTCTCCAGGAGGAGAGGGAAACAGGGATGAGGTACAGCTGAATGAGGAATTGCCTAATTACGTGATAGTAGAGGAGGAGGAGGGGGAAGTTAGAGAGCAGACAGCAGAGACCTCCCTGGAGAATATGGGAGATCCTTCTAGTCCCAGGCCTTGCAGGTCCCTCCGCATTCAAAAGCAGAGGATGTGACTCCTGTGACTTCCTGTATGTTTCCAGGATGTTGTGGGAGATGGAAGAGGAGAGACTCAGAGTAGCCAATGTCCCCTACACATGGAGACCTGGATCTTTTGTCTTGCAACCAGATGACTGAATAAAAAGCCATAAAATATGAACTGTTCATTCTTCTTTACTCTGAGGTTACTGGGGGAGGAGAGGATACTCCACGCCTGACACCTGGTCACAGTTTTCCCCTTTACTGTTATTTAAATTACAATTTTTTTTTCTAAACTAGCATCTATACAGATAAGTTGCACAAACAGTTTTTATGCAAATCTGTGTCCTCTTTTGCGGAGCCTTTGTTCTCCTTTTTTTGCCATCCTGCTTACACAGAGGTAACATATATCAGAAGGAAAGCTCAGCTAGAACCCATGGCTGATATTTAACCTTTTATATATGGAGGGGTTTGTTTGGGTCCCCCCCCCCTTAGGCACACAGAACGTAGGAACTATAGCTAAAACCATAGAAGACAGAATCAGGATTCAAGATGACCTTAACAGATTGGAGAACTGGGCCAAAAGTAAAAGAAAAAAGAAATAATAATTTCAATAGGGACAAATGCCAGGTTCTGCACTTGGACAGGAAGAACCAACTGCACAAATATAATATGGGGGACACCTGGCTTGCTAGTAATACATGTGAAAAGGATCTTGTGGTCTTAGTAGACCTAAAGCTTAACATGAGAGAACAGTGTGATGCAGCAGCAAAAAAGGCTAATGCTATTCTAGGCTGCATCAACAGAAGTATAGTGTCCAGATCAAGGATGCATAGGTTAGGGGTATTGTGTCTGGCTCTGGGAGCCACAATTTAAGGAGGATATTGACAGGCTGGAACATGTGCAGAGGAGGGTACTAAGATGATCAAGGATCTGGGAACCAAGCCTTATGAGGAATAGTTGAAGGAGCTGGGTAGGTTTAGCCTGGAAAAAAGGAGACTCAGAGGAGATATGATAGCCATCTTCATATATCTCAAGGGCTCTCACATGGAAGAGGGAACAAGCATATTTTCTCCTGCTCCGGAGGGTAGGACTCGAACCAATAGCTTCAAGTTACAAGAAGTGAGATTCTGTCTGACTAAACATCAAGAAGAACTTTCTGACAGGAACAGCGGAGCAGTCTCCCTCAGGAGGTAGTGAGTGGATACTCCTTCCTTGAGGTTGGCTGGTCATCTGTCCAGGGGTGAAGGAAGGGGGTTGTGGTGGGTCGCCCCGGGTGTCACCACTGAGGGCGTGACAAAATGCCAGTCAGCAATCACCATGGGGCTTGCAGCGCACACGAGCCACGCGTCTCTCTTGGGAGTGACACGGTGGCCTGGGCGCCCGCAGGCTCGTGCGCACTGCCCCAAACGGTCTGCCTGCCACCTCCCCCTCAGCTGTAGGGCAGCTGAGTGAGAGAAGGCAGGCAGACTCCTCGGAGGCCCCGCGGAGTGTCCTGTCTGGACTGGCCCCGCCCGACAGACGGCTGGCCCCACCCCTGGGCGCAGGGCACATGTGCCGCCCCAGGTGCCCAATCGGCTTGTTCCGCCGTTGCAACTGTCATGACACAGATCGTAGAGATTCCTGCATTGCAGGGGGTTGGACTAGATGATCTTTGAGATCCCTTCCAACACTACAATTCTATGAGGCTATGATTGGTCCATCTCATTCAGTATTGTCTACACTGGCTGGCAGCAGATTTGCAGGGTTTGGGACAAGTCGCATTCCCAGCCCTACTTGGAAGTGGTGTTAGGAATTGAACCCAGGGCCTTCTGTATGCCAAGCAGTGCTACAGACCTCCCTTTCTTTTCTCCCCCCCCCCCAAAAAATTATTGATTTTCCACATTTATCACAAAAATAACATAACAAAACACACAACAAAGAAAAACACATTACACTACAATAAACTAGACACAAAGAAAAATTATTTCTTCAAATACCTAATTCTCATTACATTGATAACTGACTTCCTCAATTCCCCTCTAACTGAATTTCATTATATCACCTATATAAAGGTAAAAGGTAAAGGTACCCCTGCCCGTACGGGCCAGTCTTGACAGACTCTAGGGTTGTGCGCTCATCTCACTCTAGAGGCCGGGAGCCAGCGCTGTCCGCAGACACTTCCGGGTCACGTGGCCAGCGTGACGAAGCTGCTCTGGCGAGCCAGCACCAGCGCAGCACACGGAAACGCCGTTTACCTTCCCGCTATAAAGCGGTACCTATTTATCTACTTGCACTTAAGGGTGCTTTCGAACTGCTAGGTGGGCAGGAGCTGGGACCGAGCGACGGGAGCTCACCCTGTCGCCGGGATTCGAACCGCCGACCATGCGATCGGCAAGTCCTAGGCGCTGAGGTTTTACCCACAGCGCCACCCGCGTCCCCATCACCTATATAACAATCTCCAAATTCATATTTCTGATAATATTGACTCCTTTCATTTACTAACTCTTCTCCTTTATTAATATTTTAATCCTTAATATTTACTATAACATATTCTTATTCTACCCGTAAGCCTATTTATTATTTCCAAGAATTTTCTATTTATCTTATATCACAATGTTTAGCTAAATATTCTTTAAATTTCTTCCAATCCTCTTGTATCACCTCTTCTTTCTGGTTGCGGATTCTTCCAGTCAGGTCAGCCAGCTCCAAAAAGTCCAACATCTACATACCTCCTTGTCTTGCGCCCCACCCTGTGTTTTCTCCTGCAGCCCATCCTTTCACACAGAGGCTCATTCTGTCATATACCGTATTTTTTGCTCTATAAGACTCACTTTTTCCCTCCTAAAAAGTAAGGGGAAATGTGTGTGCGTCTTATGGAGCGAATGCAGGCTGTGCAGTTATCCCAGAAGCCAGAACAGCAAGAGGGATTGCTGCTTTCACTGCGCAGCGATCCCTCTTGCTGTTCTGGCTTCTGAGATTCAGAATATTTTTTTTTCTTGTTTTCCTCCTTCAAAAACTAGGTGCGTCTTGTGGTCTGGTGCGTCTTATAGAGCGAAAAATACGGTAGTTATCACCTGATGCTTGAAGTGGTACAATCCAGGAACAGTTTAATCATGTGGTCTTACCATCTAGCCCAAGCAGTTATTTAGACGGAAGTTACACTGGTAATTTCCCAACCCTTTCCCGCAACAAACTTTCACTATCACAAATCCGATACAAGCTCAAACTGTCAGTTTTAACTTCTCTTCAGTGTATTCTGACTTCGGACACAATTACCCTTTTGCCTCACCCTGCCTGCTACACATGTAAATCATTATAGCCACTCCCCATACAGAAAGAGGCAGACTTTACCATATGTGTTGCAAGACTCCAGTGTAGCAAAAACCACAACAGTCCCTCGCCAGTTCCTATTGGCTGCTTGGACTAACAGAAACCAGATAGGAGGAAGCAACCTGTGTTTTGGAACTGCCAGTCCTATTGGCTGCAAGGACCAGGAGAGCACCAACCAGGTTGAAGCATCACGCCGATTAGCATATGGAGAACATCTGAAATGAGGCAAGGCTGGTACTAAATAGGAATGTTTGTTCTTGTTAACATGAATCACATCAAGAACACAGTTTGCTAAAATCTATGTTAGGGTCAGTGGGATTCCTACCATCTTGTCCTCTCCAAAAGAGTCTTTCTAAACGTAGGTGCTTGGCTTAAAACATTTAGTTTTAAGATCTGATCCTTCACCAAATAGTATTTTGGAAACATTTTTTAGAAATGGTCCCAGGGCATAATCTGTAGTGGAAGAACATGAAACTGCATCTCCAATTTATATGTCTGGATCCTCTGAAGTTACACAGGCTTAGTGCCTAAATGGAGAATTTGCTGGATCCGCCAAGTAATACCACTTCGTGTTCTAATATGGATATAAATTCAACAATTGAGGAGTTAAAAATCTAGGCAAGACTGCCTAGATCTCAAGCATTTGGCCAGTTCTAACCGTGTTGCCACTGACTTGACAAAAATACGGGTTAGGTATATTCAGGGCAGAGGCGCACGATCTAAACACAGTTGCATGTCTGTACACAATTTACTGGAAATGAACTCAACTGAACATGACAGGATCTGTTGTTTGCATCTGTCTGTCTTGAGAGACACTGGAGTGTGCCTCTAGATGTGAAGTTAAACTGCTGTGTTAGCCGCACTCCTCAGCCTGGGCAGTGTGTACGGAGGTCCTGTGCTGCCCAGATTACAAGACCCACATCTCAGCCTCGCTGATGTGGTCCAAAGGAAAGCACAGCAATACGTTTGGCACCAGCTTGGCTGCAGGAGTTGCTGAAAGGAGGCGTACAAGGCACCATCCAACCCTCTTAGGGACTTCACTCGGGATTTGTGTAGGGTTTCCTCCATCGTCTTTTCTCCTCCCAAAGATATCCCTCAAGGCAGCAGCGGTTTAGCACCAGAGTTTTCCTTCTTTTAGATGGGCCCCTTTTCTAGGTTGATGAGCCCCATTTGCCCCTCACTTCCCTCTACAGCACGGGCAGAAACCGCCTTCTGGATGGTTGGACCCACTAGTAGTCTTGTCCACTCAATCTCCTGGAGCCTGTCTTCACATGCAGGTGAATTCCCTAAGTCACTGAGAGTTTGACACCCATCAGCTACCCTCACCTGGTTTAGCTGGCCATTCCTGGGATGTGGCCGCTATCGCATGCTGACAGCTTCTAGGAGTCACAGCTGAGTGAGAGCTGTGTTCAGGGTGGGGACCAAAGGTTGACAAACTACCCCAGAAGGAGCACAATGTGTCCTTACACCCCACTGTGGAATCTTTCTCTCTGTAAACATGCATAGGATTCTTTAAAAGGTAAAAGGTAAAGGACCCCTGGACGGTTAAGTCCAGTCAAAGGCGACTAGGGGGTTGTGGTGCTCATTTTGCTTTCAGGCTGAGGAAACCAGCGTTTGTCCACAGACAGCTTTCTGGTTCATGTGATCAGCATGACTAAACTGCTTCTGGCACAACGGAACACTGTGACGGAAGCTAGTGCGCACTGATATGTCGTTTACCTTCCCACCACAGCAGTACCTATTTATCTACTTGCACTGGTGTGCTTTTGAACTGCTGGGTTGGCAGGAGCTGGGACAGAGCAAGAGGAGCTCACTGTGTCGTGGGGATTCGAACCTCCGACCTTCTGATCGGCATGCTCAAGAGGCTCAGTGGTTTAGACCACAGCGCCACCCACGTCCCATGTATAGGATTCTACAGTGAGTCCTGTTTATTTCTATGGGAGAACTTTAACCATCAGCAAACATGGCTTAACTCTCCCCATCAAATGAATGGAGTTTCAAAAAAGGTCTCTGTGCTGCCTGGATCATCCTGATTGTTTTGCCTTTGTGGGGAGCCAGGGAATTCCCAAAGCTGTTTTCCCTTTAAAGGAGCAATGTGCCACTTCTCTGCCTGTAAGGGCTGGGCAAATTAAGTGCTTGCGCCTGAGCTGTGCCAGGCACAAGCTTGCTCATAAAGTCCAAAGGTTCCTAAAGCAGCCAGATATTTTTAGCTGGCGGGAAAATGGAGTCCTGCTTCCTGGTCAGGTGTTTGCTTCAGGGAGCTGCGCAGATTGAAAGTTAAGTGCTGAGTGACGAATTGTTTTTCTCCAGCTTGACATGCAAGCCACTAGCCTGTTGAGAAGATGGAGGCTTGGATTTACAAAGCAGTAGGATTCCCTGCTTGGCAAGAGGGGAAACAGTGGTCCAACTACGTACAGTTTGCTAGACTTAGGCAAAAAATTCACAACCCTCCTACAAAACAACCCTGTATAATATACACCCAGGAACTCTTGATTGCTCCCAATTGTATTCAGTCCCTGCTATAAGAAGTGCAACTGAATAAGTTGTGGAACTTAAATGGCCCTGAATTCAAGCTTTTCCCAAGGCTTAATGTGCTCTCCTGATCATTCCTTTACAGCCATGGCTTTACCTTTTCTGAATTTGATGCTCTGTGACATCAGGTGATGGACAGGTGCACAGCATCCCCTACCGCTGGGGGAGGTGGGTGGATGGTGAGACTTGTGGCGGTGCCCCAGCCCAAGAAAGTGTGTGTGCATCTCCCGCCATTGCTCTATAGCTCTGTCCAGTGGTGGCAGCGCTGCATGGAGGCACCAGTTAGGGGGTGCAATACTTTCCTTGCCCTGGGCACTGGCAACCCACGATACGCCACTGCCCAAGAGAGCCTAAGGAAGTGGCCTCTCAGATATTTGGGGACTGAGTCATTAAGGGCTTTAAACCCTAATGTGAGCACCTTGAATTGGGTCCCTTGGCTTGTTATAGCATTAGGAGACATTTGCATTACCTGGAAAAGGGTGTGGTTTGCAGTAGGCAACCTTAACAACATCTACCCTCCTATTTTCACCCGTCTTGATAGATAAAATGGTCTCTGATAAACAACACGATTGCATCCGCCCCGGAGCACAGTGGAAAGGTCTTCGGCAGGGTGATGACAAACATGCAGGTGTGCCAAAGAAACAGGTGAAGCCGACTCAGGCACAACTTTACCTTGTACAAGGAAACTGGTAATTCCAGACTACACTGCCTGCTGAATAGTCACTGCTGAGGTCAATGACCTTCTTCTTGAAGACTGAAGGAGGCATGAGTCACACCTTAAGCTTTAGGGTTGCTGAGAGATCCAGGAGTAAAACCCACAATGGATTGTGTGGCTTCCCCCACCTCTTTGCATTGCAACTAATTGTCAAAAAGGCAAGGAGTTTGATGGAATCAGGAATGAAATCTGAAAGCTTCTCTGCACATGCACCAAGATTTTGTTCAGTATGCTGTTTCTACGCTGCAGCCAGGAATCTCGGATAAGTTCCTGAAGCCAGTCAGCTTCAATAGAAAGCCAAGATTCTGGCCGAGTCAGAATTTGCCTCCATCTCTACTAGTCCTAGTTACAAAGATGGCATGCCAATCCAGTTGATTGACTGACATTATGGCCATATCATTCTGCATAGTACTTTACAGAAGAGGGCAGTGGTGCACTTGAGCCAAGACTTTAGGGTGGAGGTCCAGGGCCCCACTTGGCAGAATGAGCAGAAACCTTTCCCTCCCCTCAAGGCAACAGGGCTGCCTTGCTACATTTTGAAGGGAATACTCATAGCCATTTAAAGGGGCCTCCTACCCCAGAAAATGGGTGGCGCTGTGGGTTAAACCACAGTGCCTAGGACTTGCCGATCAGAAGGTCGGCGGTTCGAATCCCCGCGGCAGGGTGAGCTCCTGTTGCTCGGTCCCTGCTCCCGCCAAGCTAGCAGTTCGAAAGCACGTCAAAGTGCAAGTAAATAAATAGGTACAACTCCGGCGGGAAGGTAAACGGTGTTTCCGTGCATTGCTCTGGTTCGCCAGAAGTGGCTTAGTCATGCTGGCCACATGACCCGGAAGCTGTACTTCGGCTCCCTTGGCCAGTAAAGCGAGATGAGCGCCGCAACCCCAGAGTCGGTCACGACTGTACCTAATGGTCAGGGGTCCCTTTACCTTTACCTACCCCAGAAAAACAATTTGTAGTAGGTGAATACACATTACTATCCAAAGAGGCCATCCCAAGTAAAACCAGTTAGTTCAAAGTCTAAAATTACCAATATGACGGAACTTACTTTGGTTTGTTTCTGAAACAAACCATAGTAAAACTTCTAAACTTAATTCTCTCCTCTTAGGCAAAGATCATAAGACCACCTGGCTGGTAGCGAGATTTTGCGCCCAAATTTGTAGGCACAGATCATCCTCTGGTATAAAATAGCTTACTAGGGAAATGCTGAAGTTGCCCTTTGGGGCGCCTCAGGGTCAATGTTTTATGGTAGCCCAAATCTCAGTTGTGCGGGTGTATGTATATATTTCAATTTTAACTCATGAGCTATTGCTGCAATCTGCTCCGATTGTATATTTTCTCTTTATGAATGCTGTTTTTCTTGTTATGTTATGTGAGCTGGTCTTTGACTGTAATAAATCAATTATTATTATTATCATAGTAAAACTTGAAAGCCTTGTCATCACCTCATTCACTTGCCAGAGCAAGGTGGGTCTATCAAGGAGGATCTGGAAGATGGCACTGTTGCTCCAGCTCTAAAAATAAAAAAGACCCAGAGCTTCAATTCCCTCCTCCTATTCCAGCCCGCTCTGCCCTAAATTGTGATGGAATATTGGCAATTTGCTTTTACCCTCCTTAAAATTATCTATCGGCTTGTCTACTTTACAATGTTTTAAATGCATCTCCTGATATTTTTGTCCTATTTTTAACTGCAGTTTTAAAGCTGTTATTAATTATATTTTGTACACCACGTTGGGACATATACGTGGGAGGGCAAATAATAATAACAAGACAGATAATAATAATATAGCTGTTACAGCTTTATTGTCAACTGCAAAAGAGACATAATGTATATGTATTAAAATTCCACAGAAATTATATTCCAAAGCATTAATTTATTTTTTTTACAAAAAAAACAACAACACACACAGCAAGATGTCAGCACAAATATTTGTAGAAATGAAAACAAGAAGCCTGGGCAGCCCATTGTGGAAGGCAACGGATGAAACTTGTTTGCAAAGAAGTGAGACGCATGAACCAGGTTGTTTGCGAATACGACCCTTAAACACTTCGAACAAGCTATTTTGCTGTAAACAATCTTTCGGACATAAACACATATAGCTCGCAAATACACCAGCATCAAAACATTATACAAAGGGGAGAGGGATTCACCTTTGCAAAAAACAACAACACACATTATAAATAAAGTCTTCTACCATAGGTTTGAAATGACACTTCATACTTCCACAGTTATTTGTTTTCCTGAACACTTAACTCAGCCAGAATCTGGCAACATGTGCTAGATGAAAGCAATCTTAGAAAATCAAAATTTGTTGAAATGACACTTCACTCACAGAAAAAGATTTGCCAGCTTTTCATTGAGGTCAACTATTTTAGCTGTTTACACTTTTATGGAAGGCAGTCTGACGGGGGTGAGGAGGATCCTGGCTTTGAAATATAGTGTCTTATTGAAATTACTGAAGAATGTGCACTTGTTTTGGCAGGAGGATGCTAGAAATGTATTGTACCTGAGCCATAGTTGTAATGTGCCTTTTAACCAGGGCTCAAGTGCATTTTGTTAACCTGCCAGGTGGAACGTGAAATAAAAACGTTGGAGACGTAATCCTGCGGTTTGTTTAATGTCAGATCTCCAAACCGGGGGAGATCTGCAGCACATTCAGACTTAAAAACCTTTTGGGTTCATTTTCATGCTGCTAGCTAGGATTTTTCTGAACGCACAAATCAAATTCTCCCACTGTAATGAATGGGAAACTCTGAGTATGAAGGGAATCCCTGCTGGCACACCTGATATCGCCTCCATCTCTAGATTGGGTTAAAGCTCTCTTTGTTAGCTCTCCCCCATTTGAAAAGCAGCTGTAACATTTCATCTTCCTGACACATTTTGAATAATATGGTTGGTTTTCTTAGCGTAAAAGAAAAAGTAGTCATATTTTTCCTCTGAAATGTAACTCTTCACTTGCTCCTTTCTTTCTACAGCTTCCTCCGTTTAAGCCTAACACTGTAAGGGAATTTGTCACATTTGTTATAAATGGGAAATTGTATTCTGTTAACTGCTAGCTAAAGCTGTACAACTCATCTTAAGAATACTGTAACTTCTATTGAAAGGATGCTGTTAAACAGCCTCCTGGCGTGCTTTCAAACATTCTTCTGAAACATTTGGTTCTAGCTGATAACCCAAAAGTAACCCATTATAGTCGCAACAAAAATAAGTAATCATACAATGTCCTACCTGTAGGACTAATATTGGTACATTGGCACTGCAGATCTACTTGATTTAGCGTTGCAAATTGATAGCATTGTAGTGTAATACATTTTCTAAAAAATGAACATAATGTATTACATAGCTGAACTATACGTTTCTATGATTCTATGTAACAGCTTACATTCATTTCGCTGTAACAAACACACAAGCAAAATACTCCTTTCCCTAGTTTAGTTTAGGCTGGGATTCCAATTCCTAGGAAATGGGAATTGCAAAGAGCTGATAAACTGATTTGCACTGTCCAGAGTTTAGAGCGGAGCGGTGGTGGAATGTTGCCCGTTGGTATGCATGAAATCCCATAAATTTTCAAAACAGTATAACAGCTGAGTGAATGAATTCGAGACCTATGGAAATCAGAACGTTGAACTCTGGGTTGGGGCACCCCTCCCAGATTCCTTCCTTTCCCAGTGCCCTTCACAGTCCAACATCTCCGGTAAACAGTAAATTCCAGTTCTCTCTTCTCCAGTTCCTTCCTTTTTCAAGCAAACTTTCACAAACGTTTTCTGAAGAAATCATATCACAGGAGCCTTTTTTCTCCACAGGAAACTGGCTGCAGAAATGCACAGGAAACGTTTCATCTCCTCTGTCTTACGAAAGTCTCTTTTCACGACTCCACACACGTAAAGGTCGGGTCTTCTGAAATTTTCTTTCATTTCTCTTCCTCCATTTCCTTTCCTTTCCCTCAAAGCGCTCTCACGTTTCGGGGCAGAAAAGCTTTGAAATCAGGTTGAGGATCTTCTGGCGGAGATTCCATTTGTCCCCCATCCTGCGTAGCTGCAAAGCACATTCCCGTACCGCCTCCGAGTCTGCAAAAAGTACGAGCACGTTGTTAGTCTCCGGCACTGACTTCGGCTAATCATTTACTCATTTAATAAAATTTATTTAGAGCTCGACTGTAAGGAAACAACAACTTCGAAGCTGTTCATCAAAGTCTTCTAGCATTATAAGCCTGATGCCGTTTTAAATTATATGTCATAACCCATAAAACAAGAGATTTTGACCCAAACCAGGGATGCCTCCACAGTTTGTATACTCCTGCACATGCTGGATCCTCCATTCACTTCACTGCAACGCGATGGGAAGTGAACATTCAGTTGCTCCCATCAATGAAAGTAGCGGGGAAAACTGAGGATGCTTCCGACTCAGAATACCGACAAGTGTTTGTTTGGCCATGGTGTGCTTAAGAATGCAGAGCTGGTAAATAGGACCGTACTTCAGGCATTTTTGCAATGCTGACTACAGAGAATTGCAAATCTGAATATCAAAACGACAGCCCAGCCCCTTCCCCTATTTTTAACAGAGATCCCCCCCTTTTTAAACAACACAGGGGGATAGAAGTTGGAGGCAGGACAGAGCACCATCACCCTTTGACTTCGTGGATATTCAAATTATTCAGGGAATCAGAGCACCTGTAAACAACAGAGCTATGGCAGCGCATCTGCATTGTAAGCAGACACTCCCTGTTTAATCTCTGGCCTCTCCAGTTAAAAGGATTTCGGGTGATGAGGAAGACCTATCTCTGCCTGAGATCCTTGACAGAAGATAGTGGGAAAATGGGCAAACCCCCAGCTATAGGGCAGATCCCTACGGTCATGCGAAGCTTCTGGTGGGATCAGCTTCCCTTTGCAGCCCTTCCCCAACTGCTTTCATAAGCTCTGACCGTTGGTTGTGGATGCTGGGGCTGGTGGGAGTTGTAGTTCAAGGCGCTGGGAGGGCATCAGAAGGCTGCTTTGTGGTCGTGGAAGTGAATGGCAATGCCTGGACAGGCAGAGTCAAGGCAGTGCTTCAGAGGACTGTTGGATCGGGGCAAGTGATTGTTGCAAATACAAGGGGGGGGGGGGAGGAGCCACACAGATCATGCACTTCTATCACTGACCTGCCTAAGGAATTCTGACTGTTTTTGACATTTGTACCAGGCAACTTTTTTGAATTATGGTGCTGGAGGAAACTCTTGAGTCCCATGGACTGCAAGAAGATCAAACCGATCCATTCTTAAGGAAATCAGCCCTGAGTGCTCACTGGAAGGACAGATCCTGAAGCTGGGGCTCCAATACTTTGGCCACCTCATGAGAAGAGAAGACTCCCTGGAAAAGACCCTGATGTTGGGAAAGATGGAGGGCACAAGGAGAAGGGGACAACAGAGGACGAGATGGTTGGACAGTGTTCTCGAAGCTACAAACATGAGTCTGACCAAACTGCGGGAGGCAGTGGAAGACAGGAGTGCCTGGTGTGCTCTGGTCCATGGGGTCACGAAGAGTCAGACACGACTAAACGACTAAACAACAACAACTGGGCCACTTGACAACTTAAGCGTTGATCTTCATGGCAAGTCATGAACCATAAAAACAAAGGGGGTCACGACCTTGACCTAAGTGGGGTTGCAGCTTTGCCGTCAGGGGCATGGAAAATGGGAGAGATGGGAGAGAAGAGGTGCATTTAGGGTGGGTCTTTGAGTTGAGACCCAGGACTGAAAAGACCACTGCCCAAAAAGACTGTGCAACGGGCAAGCCCGGGCTCGGAAATCAAGGGTGGGTGCAGTGGCGTAGCGTGGGGGGGGGGTGCAGGGGGGACGGCCGCACCGGGCGCAACATCCAGGGGTTAGGGTTAGGGGGCGCAAATCCACGGGTTAGGGGGCGCAAATTACTTGCCTTGCCCCGGGTGCTGACAACCCACGCTACGCCACTGGGTGGGTGGCGTCGGGTGGGATGGACTACGTGGGCTCGGGGGTCCCTTAGGACTCTGCGATCCACTACAGAGGCGCCTCCAGACGATCGATCGCCGCTCACCTCAAGAAGACGGCAAAACTGATCCGGTGCCTGGACGGGCTCCCGGCGGGAAGCCTGTGCCCGAGGCGGCGGCGCGCAGACGAGGCGCCGCACCGGGACGGCGTCGTCTGGGGCCCGTCCGGCGACCTACCTGGGGGCGCGGGGTTGCGCGGCGCGCCTTTGCGCGGCGTTTTGCTCGGCATCATCTCCGGCGCAGCGAGATCCAGCGGGAGGCTTTTGTGCGACAGGCCTTCGGAGCAGCGCCGGGAGTCGACGGGGCGGACGATGCTCTCGGCTCGCTCTCTCCCGCGTTCTGCCAGCTTCTCGTCCCGGCGCGCCCAGTCAAAGAGAAGGTGCCGGGGGTTTCCCCGCTGACGTGATCGCGAAGCCCCGCCCCCTTCGACGAGGCTTTCCTCGGGGAGCCAATCAGAGGCCGGGATGCCCGGGCATGCGGGGGCAAGTTGGCGGAGGGGGAGGGGGCAGCGGAGGCGGGAGGGGGCTGGGCGTGTTGGAGCCCGTCTTGGGGACCAGAGGGGGCGGCACCACCGAAGGGCTGGCAGATCGGGGTGGGGTGATCGGGGCGGGCAGTCGGCGGCCAACGGAATTCCTCCTGCCGGCTGCAAAAAGCTGTTTTTTTTTTACTCGGGTGCGGAAGTGTAAATGTGCGGTTTATTTTAGTAAAATAAACGAGGTCGGTTTCGTTTCATCACTAGGGAAAGGAAACTACACGCTGGCAATTATGAACGATGGTGCTCTCCCCATTTTCTCACGCATTTTTGCGCAAATGTTTAATTCTGACCATTTAGTGTTGGCAACTTTTAAACACACACATTTTTTTTTCCTTTATAGAAGGAACTCCGAATGGCTGAATCTGCGCATTCAGTAGGGAGTAGTCAGTCAGTTTTATTGCACATAGCCAAAGGCTGCCGCAATGTACACAGAATCATTCAACAATTAAAAGAAAATATACTGGATTGATCCAAAAAACTTAAAACATTTATATAGGGAGTAACTCGCGCACACGGCTTGAGACAGCCTATCTCTGGCACTAGGGCGGATGTAATCGATTAAATTCCATTCCTTTCTCCTCCTTGATTATCGTGTCTGCAAATATTTGGCAAAAGGAAATCCACTGCTCTTTTACTTTTCTTTTTGAGGGGTGTGTGGCAGTTTCCATGTGCTCCCTTATCTTTAAATTCACCATGTTCCCTTCCAAAGACCCATCTCTTCTGCTCTTCATGTGCATGTAGTGTTCAAAGACAACAGCCACACCGAAAATAGAAGAGACCCATCTCAAGCAAACTGATCTTCTTGCTAAGGGTCTGGTCTCATAGTTATAATGCAAGTGTTTAGAAAATCTTTAATAAAAATACATTTAAAAAGAAGAAGAAGAATGCAGACAATCGCACAGCAGCAAAATCTGGGTGAAAGGGCATGTTTGCGTGTTGTGGGAAGTGAATCCAGCCTCTTTGCTTTCTCTTACCCATCACCTAAGAGACTGGCCCTTTCTCGCACTTTTGGAGCAGTGCTATGAACAGGCAGCATCCTGTAAGCAGAGACTGCTGGATCAGGCCAGTAGCTCACCCAGTTTGGCATCCTGTTCTCATGGTGGCCAACTTGCTGCCTATGGGAAACCCTCAAGCATGGCTCAAGCTCAATCACACTCTCCCCTCCTGTGGTTCCAGAAACTGGTATACAGTGGTACCTCTGGATGTGAACGGGATCCGTTCCAGAGCCCCGTTCGCATCCTGAAGCAAATGCAACCCACGTCTGCGCGTGATGTCATTTTGAGCGTCTGTGCATGCGCAAGTGGCGAAACCTGGAAGTAATGCATTCTGTTACTTCCGGGTCACCACGGAGCGCAACCCGAAAACGCTCAACCCAAAGCTACTTTAACCCGAGGTATGACTGTATAGTGATACCTTGGTTTACGAACTTAATCTGTTCCGGAATTCCGTTCTTAAACCAAAGCGTTCTTAAACCAAGGTGAGCTTTCCCATAGCAGCGGGGGACTCAATTTACAAATGGAACACAAACAGGAAGCGAAACATGTTCTTATTCCAAGGCAAAGTTCAGAAACCAAAACACCTACTTCTGGATTTGCAGTGCTCTTAATCCAAGTTGTTCATGAACTAAGCTGTTCCTAAACCAAGGTACCACTGTATTACTGTCCCCAGCTGCAAAGGCAGAGACAGTCTTGTCCGCTATGAATTTCTCTAATCTTTTAAAGCCATCTGAGTTGGGGACCATCACCGTCTTGTGTTCCATAAGTGGATAAGTACTTTCTTTTATCTGTCTTGAATCATCCAGCATTTAGCTTCATCAGATGCCCATGAGTTTTAATGATACGAGAGGGAGAAAAGCTTTTCTCTAGCCATTTTCTGCACTTTTCTTTTAAATATAGTTTTTTATTGTATGGTTTCATTCTGTAAACCACTTTGATTTTTTAAAAATGACATGGTAGTATATAAATGTGGTTTTTATAGATATAAAAATAAAATATTACCTTTAACAATACGTTCCACCAGTTTCCCCAAGACAGACCTTAATCTAACTAGCCTGTAATTTCCAGGATCCTTTTTAAAAAGATGGTGTTACATGAGCTGCTTCCCAGTCCTCAGGTATGGAGACTGATCTGAAGGACAAATTCCATATTTTTAATAGCAGATCATCAGTTTCACAGTTGAATTCTTTGAGAACCCAGGTGCCCTTCTGACCAGGAGATTAAGCCTAGAACTTCATCTCTCATCACCAGTGAGTCCCTCAGACTCTCTTCCTGCAAACGTTGCTGTGGGGTCTGCCCTAAATCTTCTGTTGTGAAGTCAGAGGCCAATAATTCATTCAACTGCTCTGCAATCTCATTCTCCTCCTTTAGCACACCTTTCACTCCCTTGGCACCCAAAGTTCCAAATGTTGTTGTTGTTGAAGAAGAAGAGTTTGGATTTGATATCCCATTTTATCACCACCCTAAGGAGTCTCAAAGCGGCTAACAATCTCCTTTCCCTTCCTCCCCCACAACAAACACTCGTGTGAGGTGAGTGAGGCTGAGAGACTTCAGAGAACTAGCCCAAGGTCACCCCGCAGCTGCATGTGGAGGAGTGGAGACGCAAACCCGGTTCACCAGATTATGAGTCCATTGCTCCTAACCACTACACCACACTGGCTCTCCCACATGTTCTTAGCAATGTGCATAGTTCCTCACTCTATATAATAATACATAGTGATATGTATATGAATGCAGGTCTGTGTATATGTGCATCCTAACTGACTCCGCTCAAAGGTACATTTCAGATACAGAGATGGAGGAGGGAGGAGTTATATAGGTTCACCCGGGCTCAGCCAGGAACACGTAAAAACGCTAAGAATATTTTTCAACATATGTTGAATGCTATTTCTACACCCAGATTTCTCAATTGTTTCTGCTAGAAACACTTCTCTACAGGAAGGGGTGGGGGTGTTTTTAAATGAACTGGGAAGCTCATTGCTAGAGAAACCTAAGAGTGAGACATGTACGAAAGAAGACAAAAAGAGAGAGAGAGAGAGAGAGAGAGAGAGAGAGAGAGGGAGAGAGAAAAGCTTCAAAATGAACTGGAAAGTCCCTTCTCCATTGCCTGGAGAAGGGACTTTCAGGGCCATTTTGAAGCTGCTGTTTGGCTCTTCTCTTGGGCTTGTGTGATGGTAAAGAAGCTGAATTAACTCTCTGCTTCTGTCTTCATTGCAGAAGATGTAGAGCGGGTCCCTGTGCCTGAGCTGACTTTCTCCAGAAGGGAATCTGAGGAAGAGAGACAAATAGTGATGACAAGAGCCACTCTAAACCTTATTTTTAATAAGCACAATTCAAAGTGTTGGTGTTGACCTTTAAAGCCCTAAACGGCCTCGGTCCAGTATACCTGAAGGAACGTCTCCATCCCCATCATTCTGCCCAGACACTGAGGTCCAGCACCAAGGGCCTTCTGGCGGTTTCCTCACTGCGAGAAGCAAAGCTACAGGGAACCAGGCAGAGGGCCTTCTCGGTAGTGGCACCTGCCCTGTGGAACTCCCTTCCACCAGATGTCAAAGAGAAAAACAACTACCAGACTTTTAGAAGACATCTGAAGGCAGCCTTGTTTAGGGAAGCTTTTAATGTTTAATAGGTTATTGTATTTTAATATTCTGTTGGAATATTTAATATTCTGTTGGAAACCCAGCCAGATGGGCGGGGTATAAATAAATTATTATTATTATTATTATTGACAAAATGAACACAAACAAATGCCTGTCCTGATGGGATCCACCCATTAAAGAACTCAAATGTGAAATTGCTGATTTGCTAACAAAGATATGTAACTTGCTCCATACTGGAGGACCAATGCATTTCCAAGACCCATCTGGTTGATCACTGTGAGAACTGGATGTTGGACCAGATGATTCAGCAGATTCTTCTTACGTTCTTATGACTGAAAAGTGGCCAGTGGAGCAACATTTTTAAAAACGGGAGTCAAGAAATTATGAGCCAGTTAGCTTAATAAATGTTGCAGGAAAGCTAGGGTAAAGTTTTGTTAAATACAATGGTACCTCGGGTTACATACGCTTCAGGTTACAGACTCCGCTAACCCAGAAATAGTACTTCAGGTGAAGAACTTTGCTTCAGGATGAGAACAGAAATCGTGCTACGGCAGCAGCAGGAGGCCCCATTAGCTAAAGTGGTGCTTCAGGTTAAAAACAGTTTCAGGTTAAGTACGGACCTCTGAAATGAATTAAGTACTTAACCCGAGGTACCACTGTATAGGCTCACCAAGCATCTAGAAGAACAAGCCTCGCTGAAGAAGAACCAGCATGGCTTCTGCAAGGATAAGCCCTGTCTAAACCTTTTAGAGTTCTTTGGGACTGTCAGTAAGCATAAGGATGTGGGTAAATGCTGTGTATGTAGACTTCCCCCCAAAAGTTAAAAACCACACAGCATCTAGCACAGCTACAACAGACAGGAAATACAGTGGTACCTCGGGTTACAAATGCTTCAAGTTACATTTTTGGGGGTTACAAATGATTGTAACCCGGAAGTAAGTTTTCCGAGCTCTCGGAGGCCTCGCCGCTGCCTGGAGCCAAGCCTGGACATCCACGGGGCCTACGAAGGCTCCGCAATCGGCCTCCAGCCATGGGAGCTCTCTGAGGCCTCCGCAAATGCCGGGAGCCAAGCCAATTGTGATTGTGGAAGAGGACCCTGAGCCCCCATCCAAACATCAGCTTTTGCCGTTTTTGCTAAAAAAAATTGCGTTTTGGTTTGTGTGGCTTTTTCGGTTTTTTGACTGTGACTTGTTCTTCATTTTATGGGACTGACTTGTGACTTTGCTTTTGTGACTGTGGCTTGTGACTTCATTTTTGTGGCTTGTTTTTGTGACTGTGTGGAACCCAGTTCAGACTGCAGAAACTGACTATCAAAACTGACTATCAAAACTGACTATCTAAACTGACTATCATAAGTGCACATAAGAAAAAAAATAATGTTAATTTTTTTCATCTAAAACACTGTCTTATTTATTTTATAGTACAGTACATTGATTATTGCCTTCATTTTATGGATCACTGGTCTCATTAGACAGTAAAATTCGTGTTAAATTGCTGTTTTAGGGGGTGTTTTTCATCGTCTGGAACGGATCAATCCACTTTCCATTACTTTCAATGGGAAAGTCCGCTTCAGGTTAAGAACGCCTCATGTTAAGAATGGACTTCCGGAACCATTTAAGTACTTAACCTGAGGTACCACTGTATAGATATAATTAAGTGGTCTGCCAAGACCTCAGCAATTTTCAGGTGGTCCATCCGGAGCCACTGCCTGCCTCCACTTTTGTAATGGCTTTAAAAGAGATTCAGACCATTCTAGATATGATAAGGTTATCATTGGTTACTAGCAATGATGGCTATATTATAGCTCCACTACCAAATGCCTTGGTATGCCCCAGCATATCAGTTGGTGGGAATCATGAGCAGAGAGAGGCCTGTTGCACAAAGGTCTTGCTTGGGGGCTTCCCACAGATATCTGGTTGGCCACTGTGACAACAGGATTCTGACCTAGACATTGGCCTGATCCAGCTGGGCTCTATTGAGGTTCCTATGTTCATTTCAGTGGTTCTAAAAGTGTATAAAACCGAAGCAGCTGGAAGGCGGCAAAAGAGGGAGATCCCCGGCTGCGTCCTGCCTTTATGGGACAGGCCACACACCCCGGAACAACCCGATTGGCTGGCCAAGGGGTGATGCAGCTGGGAATCTCCCAGTCACACAGGGCTGGCCTCCCACCCCCTGCACACATGGAGGGGCCGTGAAGCCCACAACCCCACCTCCTCCTTAAGGCAGAAGTGGCCTTCTCAAATACTATAATTTCCTGTGCATGAAAATCCACCTCTTACTATCAAAGCTGTGAGGTATGCATGACCCCGGGTTGCCCTACGTCCAGAATTTTCCGGACATATCTGGAATACTGCATGGCAACCATGCAGTATTGCATGTCGGCAGTGTTGTTTTGCCTGTTGTCTTTGTCCATGGACAAACCTAGAAAGCATCCTAAAAAGCAGAGACATCACCTTGCCAAGAAAGGTCCATATAGTTAAAGCTATGGTTTTCCCAGTAGTGATGTATGGAAGTGAGAGCTGGACCATAAAGAAGGCTGATCGCCAAAGAATTGATGCTTTTGAATTATGGTGCTGGAGGAGGATCTTGAGAGTCCTGTGGACTGCATGAAGAACAAACCTATCCATTCTTAAGGAAATCGGCCCTAAGTGCTCACTGGAAGGACAGATCCTGAAACTGAGGCTCCAATACTTTGGCCACCTCATGAGAAGAGAAGACTCCTTGGAAAAGACCCTGATGTTGGGAAAGATTGAGGGCACGAGGAGAAGGGGACGACAGAGGACGAGATGGTTGGACAGTGTTCTCGAAGCTACAAACATGAGCCTGACCAAACTGCAGGAGGCAGTGGAAGACAGGAGTGCCTGGCGTGCTCTGGTACATGGGGTCACGAAGAGTCGCACATGACTAAACGACTAAACAACAACAACAGTGTTGTTTTGGGTGATTTCCCTTAAAAATAGCTCAAAAACCTCCATTTTTCTTTGCAAACGTGCCAGAAAAAGCTCAGCAACAGTTTGGATTTTCACTGTTTGAAATATGGGCAACCCTACCATCACTGCCTGCTTTTCGATGAGCTGTGAAGTAAATGTAGCTCCTCAGGCTTTTCTGAAATACTGATTTTCTTGAGGATTTGGTCACTACCACTGCTTCCCTCCACTTTTATTTGTTTCCAAAAATACTGAATAAGCACAAAGCTAAAAAGTAAGAGTAGAAAGGTTTTATCTCGTTATATAGTTAAGTAACGGAGCGTTGCGAGGTTGTCAAATATCTTAATCTGTGTCTTTATCTTAGAGGCTTGCGTCATAAGTACTGATTGTTTTGATTCAGCACCTGAAGGCAATTAGGGAACAATGACTGAGCAATCAAAGAGAGGGGGCGGGTCTTCCATCCACTTCTCTTCGTCATCCAATCAGAAGTTACTAGGACAGGCATTCGTTTTTCTCCCAGGCTCTAAGGATATGTCTCACTGACATGTCAAGTCAGGAGCGATGTTGTTTTGTGTGTTCAATAAACATTGAACATTATTTTAAAATAACTTTAATGGCTTCTTCTCTTCTTCCTCCTCCTCTTTTTGCTATATTATTCTTGTCGATGGTTGCTCACCTGTTTGTGAGTTGGTCTTTACTTATTTATTTGTGTGGGAAGGCAGGCATGGTGCCGGTAAATAAATAAACACTATGCTGAATTAATTGAAATTTCTGCAGAAATTGTGTAAAGGGAGTCTGAATTACACAGCAAGGAAAATCAAAACCCCTTGATCTGTATAAACGATGAAAATTGCATAAGGGTTTTTTAAATTTCCAAATAATTTACTCTGCATTTTATATAATGGATGCTGGTTTTGCTATTCAAGAAAACAGGTGTCCATGCAGAGTATAGAAGACACATCTGGCCACTAGAAATCCTGCTCACCTCCTCCTCCTCTGGCTTCTATGATTTCACAAGGCATGTGCACTTTTAGACGTCATACCCATAAGAGCTAGAAACTTAGGTTCTTTTAAAAGGAGGTGGTGGATTGCTGAAATCCTGAGACTGCATAGACACAGTTATCTAGCAGTACGCCTCATGAAGCGAGTGGCAAAGGTGAAATTAGGGGAGTACAACCAGTTTGGTCGCACCTGATGCCTAGCTTCTGGGACACCGCGATAGGCACCGCCACTATGAAGTCAAACAGAAGGCAAAAGGTGCAGGGGCACCAGATTTTGATGTCGCACAGGGTGCCACTGAAATTTGAGACCTCTAGGAATGCCACTGACAGTGGGCCCTACTTTTGAGTAGACGTACATAGGCTTGCATACGTTCAACCTGCATCCAGTGTCACGCATCCCACGCATTTCTTCTGCTCTCTCAAAATTGTGACATATGTAGAACACTCCCCATAGGCTGTCTTCTGAAGATGCTTACAAGTGTTTGTTTCCCTGACCCCCCGCCCCCAACTGCACCTTGCAGCAGGGGCATAGCATGGAGGGGGCCTGCTGGGGCAATGACCCCTGGCATATTTTGCTGGGGGCGGGGGCACTGCTCGTGCTGCCGTGCCAGCCCTGCACTGCTTTGTGAGGCTGAGAGCTGATCTGAATGATTCACTGGGCAAATCGTAGAGATCAGATCCTAGCACTGCAAGTGGCTCAGGGCTGGCAGGGTGGTGTGAGAAGGAGACGACAGCCATGTGCCAAGGCTGGGATCAGAACCGTCTTTCCTATTGGGCTTACTGGCGCATTGCGCCAGGGCGCTGGCCTCTCAGGGGCGCCACAGCGAGTGGGGGAGCTGTGCGGCTTTGCCGGCGGCCTCCCCTTTCTTTTCTTTTTTCCTTTCTTCTTAAATTTTTACTGATACAGCAAGAAAAAAGAAAAAAACACAAATACCAAATTACACACAGGAATAACCGTAGACACATAATTTTCTTAACAAACAATAAAACATATATTGGTCTTAACACT